ATCTTCATCTTTTTCCTCTTTTTTTCCCTTTAAATTCGGTGATGTACTTTAAATTAAATCCTTCTTATATTTTTTCTTCTTCCATAATATTTAATTAAGTAAATAGTTATGAGAAACGATTGTAACTAGTTTAATTTTGGATTGATGTTGTAAATTATTATTTTTCTTTAAATCTTAACGCTTTGGATTAATTGCACCAATTCACTGATTTAAGAGCAATAATTGTACCAATAGGTGTGTTATTTTTTAGACCGTGTAGTAGAAATCTACCATTTTTATTAAAGGTAGAGATACATTTTTACGGTTGTCGGGTTGTTAATTATATCGATTATTAGAAATTGAATGTTCTTGATTAAAACTTATTCGGATTCATATAGAGATGCAGTGGGTTGACTTAATTGAATATGATTAATTTGAACTCAAAATAGGTAAATCAATTAAATTAAAGGAATTCGACCAAGTATATATATATATATATATAGTGTGCCAAATCCGTTGACTATGTTACGATCCGTACACTTGTAGGATATAAGATTAACAACACTTGTCAACGCAAAAAATAAAAAAAACTCCATAGACGACCCCTAAAAACTAAGCCCTTGTTTGATATAGACTTTTTTTTAATTGATTTTGTGAAGAATAACTTTTTGGAGAATATATGGTTAAGTAGGGAAAAATTATAAATCCAAAGTGAAAAATATTTTATTGGGAAATGAGTGAATAAAAATGAATTTTAAAGAAAGTGATTTTGTAAAATTCTAATTCGAACAAGAGCCAAAATTACACTTACCATCGACTCTCTAAACAAAATAAATTTTTAAAATAAAGAATGGAGCCCAACCCACTCTCTATTTTTAATTAATAGTGATCTCATTTAATAAGTTATAAATTTCAAAATTCTACAATTTAAATTATTCAAATCACATTTGATTTAATTGGTCATTAGTATATACAAAATATTTGAAATAAGAGATGAGGAGAAATCAATAAATGTTTTTTGGAAAAACTGATAAATAGTCAAAATAGATAGCATTATTGGAGTGCATAAATAAAAAAATTTCTCTAAATTTAATAGTGTGCTCTCTATTATGTGTAAAATACACTTTATAAATAATCTCTTGGAAGAGAAATACTTGGATATGAAGGTTGTACCCTACAGTTCTACGTGGTGCAATCATCTAATGAGGAGTTGCCACTTCATCGAATGACCCAGCCTCACCCAATGAGGTGAGGCCACCTTAGGTGAGGCTGTGCCATCGGATGAGATAGCGGCTCCTCATCAGACGATCACACCAAGTAGGACGGTCCCTACGCAAGTGTTTCTCCTCTCGGAGATGCTCTAAAATAAATATAGCTAAAATTTGATGAATGCCTGAAAGTAGACATTTAGATAGAGTTTTGACATGCTAGTTTTGATGCTTTAGTGCATTAATCACTATGCAAAATTCTCAATTGAATCTATCATTCAAGCTATAGATATTCTCAACAGTTTCTCGTCATATTGTGCGAACTTGATCTTCTCATCCGATGTGCTCAAAATGATCTTATTCGATTACATTAGTCTGATTTATTTATTCTTAGTAGTGTGTGAAACATGCCGGTATCACATATTCCTTTCTAGAAAGAGGTTATAATTTTAGACATGTTCTCCTCAAGTAGACGAGAAAGGAATAATAGTCCACCAATCTTTTTCTCATGAAATGCAAGAGAATAATTAAAATCGAACTAATAAAAGTCAATCAATCTGATTTTGCATTGCCAAAAAAAAAAAGATCCATTTTTCAAAATTCACAAAAAAATTGTAGCTTGTAATAAATTCTAAAATCTCATTAAAATTCCTCAAACTCTGCATTCACAATCAGCTATCCACAATACATTAAAACAAGAGTCAAAAGTGACTGCGTATTTTTAGAAATTAGAACATACACAAAATCAGGTATTTGTATGTGGGGTAAATAAGTCTTTTTGGTTGGTAACACGTGACAGTTATTAATTGGTTGACTTCTAATTACATTTATTATTTTATTATTGATACATGTTTTATTCATTAGCATGCATGTCCCTCGTTGATTGACTGTGAAGCCACACTTTACACTCATTCACGTGTGCGTTGATAACAACTTTTGCTGATGTGGAATAACTAATGAAACCAGACTAAGTTATATTTGCGCTGCCCTTATAAATGCTTGCTTATTTCATTGGGCTCACGCGGATTTTATTGATCTTGATAAAGTTCACATTGAAAGAATAAGGATTCACGGTTGATCCTCACAATTTTTTACTCGTTAACACATGTGATGGAAACTCCAACCGAAAAAGGGACATTGAAAAAGCCCACTAAAATAAGAAAAATATATATTCATTTATACAACAAATATGCATTTATAGAGTGTGAATACATGATAATATTGCACATATGTTGAGTAAAACTTTATGGTGAGTGGTACAAGTAATTATTAAATTCAAACTGAAGACATTCTAGGAGAGATTCGAGCTCGCAATGGATTCTTCATAACAGCCGTAAACTCTTGCTTCTCCGACATTTCAATATTGTCAGAATCAAGACTTGTTGTTGTCTCTTGAATCTGAAAACAGAGAAAGAAGTTGTCTATTGATGAAAGAACAGCAATAATTTTAAGAATAACAATGAAAAAATGAAGAACCTTTTGATGGAATAATCTTTTATTTCTCAGAACTTCAATTTAAACATGAAAACATAACTAACCACTAATATCATGGACCTAGAATTAAGTCACGAAATTCAACACACCACTGCTGAAAACAATCAACTCCTAAAAACTAGGAAACAAACTTTGAAACATTCAAATTAAATAAATAATAGCTTCAGAATGTGGCAGCCATCCTAAACATCTCTTCTAACACTCCTCCTTGTTTAGATGCTGCAAACTCCAAGTTTCTTTCTAAAAAACTCGAACTTGCTAACTGGAAAAGGCTTGGTAAATATATCTGCTAACTGATCTTCGGATTTGCAGTAGACAAGAATTACAGCACCTTCCTTTTGCACCTCCCTCAAGAAGAAAAGCTTGATGTTGAAGTGCTTAGTTTTCCCATGAAACACAGGATTATGAGAAATTGTTATTGCCGCTTGGTTGTCCACAAACACCTCAGTACTTTCAGTTTGTTCCACGTGCAGATCAATCAGTATTTTTCTCAGCCACAATGCTTGATTGACTGTTGCTGTTGCAGCTACAAATTCTGCCTCTACTGTGGATTGAGCAACAATGTCCTGCTTTTTAGAACACCATGAGAAAACTCCTGACCCAAAACTAAAACAGTGCCCAGATGTGCTTCGTATGTCATCCATTGAGCCTCTCCAATCACTGTCAGAAAAACCAATTAGCTTGAATTCCCTATTCTTTATGAACTTGATTCCATAATTCCAAGTTCCCTTGATGTATCTGATTACTCTCTTTGCTGCCTTCAAGTGTATCTCACTCGGGCAGTGCATGAATCTAGACAAAATGCTTACAACATTCAAAATGTCTAGCCTTGTGGCTGTTAAGTACATCAAGCAACCAATTAATCCTCTGAATTCTGCTTCATCAAACCTTGTCAGCTCCATCTTCCTTGCACAAGTTATCTTTCTGATTCATGGGAGTGCTCATTTCCTTGCACTCTTCCATGTGAAATTTCTTAAGAATCTCCTTAGCATATTTTTTCTGGCAGATGAACACCTCATTCAGTCCCTGCTTGATCTCCATGGCAAGAAAGAATGTCATCAGACCAAGATCAGTCATCTCAAAAGCCTCCATCATTTCTTTTTTGAATTTTTCGACCAAATTCATATTACTTCTTGTGACAAGAAGATCAACATACAATGAGATAACCAGAATCTCCATACCAGCAAATTTGACATAAAGCGTGGATTCAGACAAGCTTTTGACAAATCCAAGACTCATCAAGTGCTCATCAATTCTGCTATACCAAGCTCTTGGAGCTTGCTTCAAACCATAGAGAGTCTTCTTAAGAAGATAAACCTTATCTTCTTCACCTTCCTTCACAAAGCCTTCATGTTGCTCAACGTATATTTCTTCTTGTAGAACTCCATTCAAGAAAGAAGATTTGACATCTAGCTGATATACCCTCCAATTTCTTTGTGCTGCAACTGCAAGTAGCAATCTGATGGTGTCTAGCCTGGCCACTGGTGCAAATGTGTCTGAGTAGTTCACTCCAAAAATCTAAGCATAGGCTTTAACTACGAGCCTCTCCTTGTGCTTGTTGATGGAGCCATCATCATTGAGCTTAGTTCTGAACACCCATTTAACCCCAATGACTTTTCTATCTTGAGGTCTGTCAACAAGCTACCATGTCTTGTTTTTCTCAATCATATACAACTCCTCCTTCATTACAACCATCCAATTTGATCAAGTTTTGCTTCTTCCAAACCTGCAGGTTCACAAATTGCAATATTGCATCTATGATAGACATCAGAAAGCAATCTAGTACCCCTGACTAGAGTGTCATCTACCATCTCATTTTAGCAATCTTCAGAGCTTTGTTCAATCATATTTCGAAGAGGAAAACTGAGCTTCAGATCATTTGAAGCTTGATTAGTTTTCCTTGCTTCATCCTAGTTCCATTCTTCATCTTCTACAAAATGCACATCCCTGCTGATAACAATTTTTCCAGTTTGTGGCTGGAAAACTTTGTAAGCTTTGGTGACATTGCTGTAACCAATGAAGATGCATGGTGATGCTCTCTTGTCTAATTTATCATTCTTTGTCTATGGAATGTGAGTGAAATATAAACAACCAAATATTTTAAGAAAGTTTAGAGATGGTTTGAGTCCAAACCAAGCCTCAAATGGTGTCTGATTCTTTACAGCTTTTGTTGGGAGTCGATTTTGCAAAAAAACAGCAGTGTTTGCTGCTTCTGCCCAGAATTGCTTTGGTAAGTTCATTTCATGTAGCATGCATCGAGTCATCTCCAATATGAATCTATTTCTTCTCTCACAAACACCATTTTGTTGTGGAGTGTATGGGGTTGTTAGCTGATGTTGAATGCATGCTTCCTCACAAAACTGGTTGAATACTTCAGATGTATATTCCTTGCCATTGTCTGATCTGAGAATCTGAATTGTACAACCACTCTCATTCTCAACTCTGGCTTTGAAGCTCCAGAAAACCCGTGCTACCTCCGATTTGTGCTTTGGAAAGAATATCCAACACATCTTTGTGAAATCATCAATAAATGCAACGTAGTAAAGACTGCCCTTCAAAGAAGGTGTTCTTTGAGGGCCTGCAATGTCTGTATGAACCAATTGCAACTTTCTTGAAGCTCTCCAAACCACCTTAGGAAAAGGTTTTCTGCTTTACTTACCAAACTGACATGCCTTGCAGTTTGGTAAGTGATCATCAAACTCGGGTAGATCACATGCCATTTGTTTTGCTTTCATTTGCATCAAGCCTTTATGGTGATAATGCCCGAGTCGCTTGTGCCAAACCTCTGTGACATTTTCTTTGATTAAAAAAACAGCTTGTTCCTCCTCCATTGGATTAAGTGTGAAGCTTTTCCCTTTCATTTTTACCTTAAACATATCTTGACCTGCTGCATCCTTAATTAGGCAGTGTTTTTCTTTGAAAGTAACTTTGAAGCCTCTCTCAATTAGTTGACCAACACTTAACATATTTTGATCAATTTCAGGAACATAAAGTACATCAGTGATAAACTTTGTACCTGAACAGCTCGGTATTGCAACAGTGCCTCGTCCTTTCACCACTATGAGTTCTCCATTTCCAATTCTGACTTTGGAGGTGTCAGCAGGTTTCAGGTCCATGAAAAGCTCCTTGTCGTGAGTCGTGTGATTTGTATCGCCATTGTCAATTAGCCAACATTCACTTGAGCCACTGCTTGAGAAACATGTTGCAACAAATAGCTGATCTTCCTCCTCTTCTCCAACAACTTGAGCTTCTACTTCTTGTTGCTGATTTTTACTCTTACAAATTACAGCTTCATGCCCAATTTGATTGCATTTACTGCACCTTGCATCAGGTCTACTCCAACATTTGAAGGGTGGATGACCTTTCTTGCCACAATGCTTACATGGAGGATAATTTTCCTTCAAGTTTCCTGCCTTACCTTTGTTGTAGTTGTTTGTGGTATTTTCTCCATATGTTGGCTGATTCTTCTTGTATTTCTTCTTCTTGTTCTTTCCGTAATCATTATGTTTGGCTGGTAGTGCACCTTCAGCTATTCCATCTTCTCTCATGATTCTTTGTTGCTCTTGTGCCTGCAAGGCATTCAATAATTCTGCCAAGGTAATCTTAGACAGATCCTTAGTATTTTCTAAGGTAGTTATTGTTGCCTCAAATCTTTCAGGCACAGTTACAAGAATTTTTTCAACAATTCTTGAGTCAGTAAACTCAGAGCCAAGCAATCTTGCCATGTTTGCTATGCTTAGAAGCCTGTCAGAGTAGTCCTTGATAGACTCTGATTCTTTCATCCTTTGCAACTCGAAATCTCTTATGAGATTCATCACCTGCATGCCTCTGATTCATTCATCTCCTTCATATTCTGTCTTAAGATAGTCCCAAATAGCTTTGGCTGACTTTAATGACATAATTCGAGTGAATATTCTCGAAGAGACAGCAGCAAACAAGCAGGCCTTTGCCTTTGATTTCTTTGTTTTTCTATCCTTGTGATTTTTAATCTAAGCCATCGTGGGATTGTTTGGTAGAGGAGTAATTTCATAGTCCTCTTCCACTACTTCCCAGATATCTAAGGCTTCCAGATAAGTTTCCATCCTTACAGCCCAGATTTGTTAATTTTCACAGTCAAAAACCGGAGGCGCAATCGATAAAAAACTGGTTTCTGCGTCCATGGCAACCACTTGGATTCAATCTTAAACACTTACAAGTCCCTTAAAAAAAGAGCTCTGATACCAATTGTTGTCTCTTGAATCTAAAAATAGAGAAAGAAGTTGTCTGTTGATGAAAGAACAGCAATAATTTTAAAAATAACAATGAAAGAATGAAGAACCTTTTGATGGAATAATCTTTTATTTCTTAGAACTTCAATTTAAACATGAAAACATAACTAACCACTAAGATCATGGACCTAGAATTAAGTCACGAAATTCAACACACCACTGCTGAAAACAATCAACTCCTAAAAACTAGGAAACAAAGTTTGAAACATTCAAATTAAATAAATAATAGCTTTAGAACGTGGCAGCCATCCTAAACATCTGTTCTAACACTTGTCCATTCAAAGTACCAAATCAAATTAGCAACAAAATACTCCATGTGAAGCAGAGCCAGACCCCACCCGGGACATATTCTCCTTCCAACACCAAATGGCATCATCTTGATTTCTCTACTCCCCATTATGTTAAACTCCTCCCCACCATTGGCTAAGAACCTATCAGACTTGAATTCTATTAGATCCTTCCACACTTTTGGATCCCAAACCAGGTCTGCAACCATGAAATTCACAAGCCCGTTCTTTGGGATCATATAACCATCCAATTCAACTTCCTTTGTTACTCGATGGGGTAACACGAAGTGCCCTGGCAGGTGGCGCTTTAAGGCTTCTAACAAGGTTGCCTTCAAGTACCACGCACGCCATTTTCCAGTTATCTCACTGTAATGGATTGAATATCGGGGTGTTTAACCAAGTTAGCCACGATCCACTACAAAGTTATGGCAGTGGTATCGGTGCCTGAGAAATTCACTGCATAAAGTCACCATTTCCCATTCATCCAGCTTTATGTTCTTGTCTGGAAGTTTCAAGTCCGCTAGCACGTCTACATAGGCAACTAGTTTTGCATCTTGTTTCTCATCTATGACTCTTTCTTTGGAGTGGAGACGAGTTCAAATCAAAGGTATAAACACATTTTCCTGTTCTTGGCTCAGTCTAATCAATTCATTCCAGCTATCACGAAACAAAAAAAAATTCCAATCAAGGGCAGAAGTTGAGCACAATAAAACGATGGAAATTCAAAAGCAACTGGCGCTGCATTTCTCATCGATTTTTTCCCGAAAGCACGTGAACACCAACAAAGAGAACATAGCGAAATAAGTGTTCAATTACAGTTACAAACAATTCAGATGATTGAGCCACTACAAACAACTGAATAAGACTACTGAGTACGACTTCACATGAGGCAAATGTAGAATCTCATAGGTTAGGTTACGGCAGAGGATCCTCCAAGTGGCGTATGCTGGTTACTTGTTGTTCGCTGAAAATCGTACCGCAAGCGCACGGGTCGCGTTCAAGTAATAAAGTGGACCTTAAGAGTCCGGATTGTCGATCCCACGAGGAATGTATACTTTGGATTACACAACTTTAATCGATTTTAATTCTAACGACAAAA